AAGGTAAGTCTGGTTAGGAATTAGATTGCCTTCTCAATCTTCCAAATCAGCGCTGTACTACTATTAAGTTCAAAGTTGCAATTTTTTTTTTCTTTTCGGTATTCTATTTAGTTCGGCATTTCCGTTCAATTCGGTATTCGGACTTATAATTCGGATTTCTGTTGTCTTCCGGTATGCTGCTATTTGAGTTTCGATTGAGTAATACTAATCCGATAATTGATTAAGTTTCGGATTTCTGATGTTACACGAATTAGGGTTGAATCACTATCATGTTGAAATTTGGCGTTTCTGATTTCCATTCAGCATTCTGTCTTTCGGCATTTTTGTTGTAAATCCTATATTTCGTTGTCTTTTGGATTTCCGTTGTCTTTCAGTATTGGRAATTAGGGTTACGAAAATCTTTGGGTTTTAGATCAACTTGGGGAAATTCGAACGTTTTGGGACCGTAAATCCAGAAATTTTGCGGAAACACGGAAAATTAGGGTTGGGACCGAAATTTTCGTGAATGTTTTTTCGTTCCCCTTGTTTGAGAAATTCCGAAAACAGGTTTAGGCTTTTAAAAATCGGATTTTGACGGTGGAAATTCCCAAAAATTCGCGTTTTGAAAATTCGAGCGTTTTTCTTCTGAAATTTTCCGAAATTTTTTTAGCACACTAAGCCGTATCTGACCCTCAAACTGCAACTTCCGGGTAGTTCACTCATTAACGGTGAACTCCCGGAYTCAAAGTGATCTCAAAGAGACCTAATCATAATACCTTTTCAAATTCGTTTATGATTGCCATTATTGTTTATCTTTATTGCAAATAAGGATTATTGGTTATCTTTATTACAAACATTGTTTTATTGAGCATCATTAGGAGTATTTCGTTAATTATCATTAATTAATTTTATTGATTAAATCGTTATTAATTCCTTATTACGAATTTTTGAATGGTTTACGGGAAATTTATTTTTTCTGTTTGATTAGGTGTCTACAGTCCATCAGTGGGACAGGGGATTGTATGTATATTGCTTGATTGTTCTACCCCTGTTCCCACTCTCCCTATTCAGACTAATGTCGATGGAACAGGACACCGGGGCACTGCCACGGCGCAGTGCCAGGATCGCAGTTCGTGCCCGCCCTGCGGTGCCTCCAAGACCCAAGAGATTCAGCAGACGGACGACTCCAGCGGCATCAAGTACGGCATTGACAGTACAAGACACCACCGGAGATCTTCCCGCATGCCCGGTCCGAGAGGCCAGCGAGCCTTTGGCTGACTATCGTGGGCGGCTACAGGCATTTACAGACGCCGTAGCCGCCGCCGAGGCTCAGCAGGCTGCGGCAGAGGCAGAACGTCAGCGGCTGGCCAATGAGGCGGCAGCCGAAGCTCAGCGGACAGCTGAGATTGACGAAGCGGCACGAAACAGACGGAATGCCGCCAGCACGGAGTCCCTGATTGCTAGTGAGCATCAGTGGACAACG